GGGTGGGTGGGTGGGTGGGTTTGGGCGGGGTGTTTTCGGTCTTGTCTACCTATACCTCTGCTACCTCCTCCCCAAATCCACACCCATACTGAAACACACTCATATATCCCACACCCAGCTTTTTATACCCACGCCTATACCTACACCTACACCCTTGCATCCAGGCGTCTCTGCCGCGAGTGCGACCCCGACAGAGACAGCATCATTGGGGAGGCCACAATCCTCAGCTGACGAACTGGAGTAGCAATTCTCTAGATCCATCAATAAGCTGTGCTCGTTATTATTGCTATCGGTTCCTCCAGGCTGACGAAACAGATGTCAACCCTCACCGTCACGTCCGATGGTGAGGGTGCGATCGAAGTTGGCCCTCTGGGTATGAAAGATGCAGCTGGTAACATGAAAAGGGTCAAAGTGCTGTCGCCGGAGCAGCGTGCAGCGATCGAGGCGGGGTTAAGCTGCATCAAGAGCATTACCACGAATGTACAGATCTTAACATGCATGCTGGTCGATGATCGATCTGGAGGCAATGACCCACCCAAGCCAGATGGATCCATCCGAGAGGAAGCGTCAGAACGAAGCTCTCAGACGCAAGCTGCTAAGCGGAGGCCGATCCCGTTTTAGCCACCCAACATAGAACAACTAACTTATCACCGACCGTGGCAGGTCTCAAGCCGGGCCTGCTTGAGAAGTACCAGAACTGCAGCGGTGCGCAGCAGAAGTCAGCACCTCAATCGGGCTGTAACACAAGACAACAGCCCAATGGGATCACCCTGCAGGTTCGATTTCTTGAAATCCTTCATATTGGATCCCGATATGGAGAATGTGGAAGTCGAAGCTTGCTTCAAAGAGTGACTTGGCTGCCACTCAGCACCACAGACTGAACAGCATCATTAATGTTCGTTATCCAAGGCTTGCCGAACGGAAGACATCGGATGTCTATGTTGAGCTTCCACTGGAAGACCTGAAAAAAACCTATACGACGGAAGCTCAGAAAAAATTCCTCACTGAGACTATCCTGCAGAAGCAGCAAGGACGCCCACACCCGCAGGACTGAGTTTGGAGTAGATATTCCTAATCCCTAAACCTTAAACCCTACAGCCAGCCTAAACCCTACATCCTAAACCTTATAAACCCTAAGCCCTAAACCCTAGACTTGACTGTACAGGACCCTGGCAATAGCGAGATGCGCCTCTACCGTGTGTACCAGACTGGAGTGGACAAAAGCTCCTAGGCTCAAAAACCCGAAAGCGGCCCGAGGGTTGATTTCTTGTAACATACGACATCTGAGGCTCGAATCTTTCGCAACTTTCAACGAAGCTCCGTGGCAAGGGGCGGGTCGAGAGGAATGCCGCAGCCAGAAATGCGCTGGCAGATTCCTTGGCTGCGAAGTGCGCAGACATGGCGAAAAATTTCAATCAAAAGGATCCGAAGCAACCCAAGAAGAAAGCCCAGAAGGCCCTTGCATGTCACATCATATATGTATCGCTAGTGTAAAAGCATGATACTTTTAGCATCCTTGTCTTAAGCCATCATGGTCATCATCGTCCGAAGAACAGCACATCATCCTATGTACTGCCAGACTGTGGGTTTGTCGCACTGGTTGTAAAGGGGGTGTTCGAACCCACTACAAGCCCGCACCCAAAAAACCCTCTAGTTAATACCACTATAAATTCGATAATTGCTCGCTGCTCCCGCTTGTCCTACTAGACTATATCGGCCCTCCATGTTGTTCCGTGTGAATGTTCCTGAGAGGAACTGACGCACGACGAGAAGCAGCAGAAAGAGTTCGATCGAGATCTACAAGCGTACCCTGACTTTGATGTAGCTGTAATCGAGTCGAGTGCTTTGTGCTGGATGTCTTCATGAATGCCTCTCAGGGTGCATGCTCTGGCCAGCAAAGCACGCACGACTGCGAAGAATATCATTGATGCAAAGATGCTGAACCAGGAGGTCTGACCGGCCTGCTTTTGGGATCACTTGTGCGCCTTCACATATTCAGCTGCATGCAGGCTACCGTGCAAAGCATGAAGGCAGTCTACGGGCAGCTCATGGAGTTGCATGCAAGGCTACATGTTCGGAATCCCGATATAAGTGGATCTATAGAGCCTGCATGGAATTGAATGGGCTTTGGCTGCTATAGGATCAATGAGATGATCTTTAACGGCGAGAACTTCGACAACTATGCGTATGTGCTGAGTGCGGAGAAAGAGCGCTGCGAGGCGCGGGACCATAGACCGCCGTGATAGAAACTCCAAACAACCCTAAACCCTAAACCCAAAACCATAAGCCCTAAACCCTGAACCCTAAACCCTTAACCCGAAACGCTAAACCCTAACCCTAAACCTAGAAACCCTAAACCCCTTCATGCAAGCAGACCACAAATCCTACATCCCCACATGCACCAAATTAGTGAACCCTCCTGAAACCCAAACCCTTTCCCCGCAATAGCCCCTAAACTGAAGACCGAAAAGTCGCAGCCCAAAACCCGAAACCCCTATAAAGGCCCCAGTCTAGACTGTACCCAAGCCAAAGTTGCAGGACTTCGAGAAGCAAGTCGCGTCAGCAGAAAGCATCGTCAAGGCCCACGAGACTCGTCTCGTCCTCAGCGGGGTGCACTCCCGTGTACGGCTATCGGATCGCTTTTGTTCTTGTAACCAAGGGGTCGCGGCCGAAAAGAGAAAGCGGGAGAAGGAAAAGAAAGATGCAGAGGAAAATGCCATCAAGAAAGCCAAGGCTGCCGAGGACTGGGGAGAATGGGATGGGGAGACTGAAGATTGGGGAGAGGACTGGCAGGATGAAGAAAATGCCTAGGCCTTTATATGAAGCGAGCATCGTCATGAGTTTTGAAGCTGCAGGCTTCGTCGGATAGGATTGTCAATCCACTGCTTGCTGATTCCTAAAATATCCGAGACTGCATGAACTAGGCAAGTGTCGCAGTGTCATTGATGTCAGCCGATCGCGCCAGTGTCCTCGGTCGAGTGTGGCGGGTTTTCAGTGTGAGTGTAATTTAGGGGTGTATTTTGGGAAGTGTAGAGACTGGGGCTCCTATGATCCTAAGCCCTATAAGCCCTCAGCGCCTGTAGAATTGCTTTTTACACATACTTTTGTGGGTGGGATGTTATAGGCTTGGATTTGTGGTTGAAGATTTAGAGCCATCTCTTCTGAAGGTTGAAGGTTGACACCCTAAACCCTAAACGCCTAAGCCCTGGACCCTCAGCCCCGAAACCCGAAGCCTTAAACCCTAAACTGACACCTTAAACCCAAAACTGCCTATCATGTGTTTAGGGTTTAGGGGCTTAGGGTTCAGGGTATAGGGTTTAGGGGTTTAGGGTTTAGGGGTATATAGCCTACAACGAACTACTTTCCGAATTGCTGTCACAGATCGACCGGTCGCAAGTGATTGCATCTACGAAACACCGGATGCCGATAATGTTTAGGATGCAGCCTGTTCAATGCTAAGCATTGCAGCAGGGCCTATAGCAGGCATCAGTCTGGCATCATGATGGTTGCCTGAAGATCCCACGCTCCATGTGTAGAAACCAAAGCCCCAAATCATAACGGCCAACACTGAGTAATGGTTGTTAAACCACAAGTCGAAAACACTGTCTACATAAACTTCCAATGATTTATCACCATCACTACTGTTGATGGACAAAATCCTGCATGACCTTAAGGACCCTAAACTATGGGATTTATGGTACTATACTATATTTGGGTCATGCAGAATTTTGTCCATCAACAGTATGACCATCAGCATCATCCGGTACCACTACAAACCAAGAATGCTAATTTAGGTCACTCTCATCCAGAGCGTCAGCAAGCAAGCAAAGTCATCTTCAGTGTCAAATCCAACAATGATGCTGGGAGGGAGCATGCCCGCAAGCTGCCGCAGGCTGTCTTTAGAGTCTAGACGGCTCGTCACAGTGCGCGCTGAAAATGCAAAGAGTGTGTTGCTGTATGTTTTGAATTGTCGGTCCGAGAGACAATTCGAGCGACTTCGCCAGCGATGTGAGTGCACCTCATCCGTGGCTTATGAGGGCTTTAGTTCCTACTCCACTCCGTTATTGGAGTCCTATGTAGATCCGACGCCCGGAAGGTTCACGTAACTATCTGACCCAAAGTCCACTTGTAGAAATCCTATGTAGATCCTACGCCCGAAAGCTTCAGGTCACTACACTATAACCCAAAATCCACGAACCCCCACGTGAGCCCTGAAGCGCGAAATCTGAATTTCGCATCCTGCCTAACCCCTAGCCCCCAACCCCAAAGCCCTAAACCTTAATAAACCCTAAACCCTAACAAACCCTAACAAACCCTAACGAACCCTAAGCCTTTAACTTTAAACCCTGCTAAACCCTAAACCCTAGCTTCTAAACTATCCGAAGCTGAAAGATCGTATGAAGTCAGTGTCCTAAATTTAAATGTGCACCGAGAACCCTTCTGTGTCAGCATGGCGAAAGCCGAATGGGCTACGCGGTTCATTAAGGATACAATCAATGAATTCTTCGAAATGCTGGGAACTGGTGAGGCTGGACAGCTCCGATCGAACACATGCGTTTCTACAGTAGACATGCCACACTGCAGCAGGTCCCAATGGAAAGACTCAGATCTCTGCTCAGTCACGGTCTCAGCCATTTCCCATGTACTCGGCGATCCGTCCTGATGCCGAGGTCGTTTTAAACAATGTGCCGTATTATCTTCTACCGAGACTTATAAATCAATTTTTCGCGTTGCGGGTGCAAAGCTGCCGAGCTGAACTTGCTTTACATTAATCTGGATCCAAGGCCAGATATTGCGCGGCTATTGGAGATCGTGCAAGCTGCTGCGCAATCTCGAGGTCTGGGAAATGCACTGACAAGGTGGATCAATGAGCAACCCTGGCGAATCTCGAATGCATTATGCCATGCTGCCCCAGGGTCCTATGCATTGCACCGCAGTGCAACAACTCCCATGGCTTTATTCATGGTTGCCTTATATAAGGGCAACTCCTACCTCAGAACCATTCGATGACAGTCCCCATCGCTGCTTGGGCGAGAACCTTTGTACTCATCGATTTCTCATCCTCAGAACGAACAACATAATGCTGAAGACCAAACTCGCAACCCGATGCACGGTAGACTAGATAACATCCTTTATGGTTCAACCCTGAACTTTCCTATATATGATCCCAATCGAACGTATTCAGCTGAGGAGCGCCTAGATATGCACGGCCAAACGATCCCCTCCACGCTGCAGCACGAGATGCTTTTGCCTCACGAGATTGTTGGGTCGCTCTATGATTCTGGGCTCATGCACCTGCTGGCGGGCGATGCTGATGAATCCTGTCTTATGAGTGATGCCTGACTCCCCTGCAGCAGCAACACTCACCCCAGCCGACGCAAACCAATCTTGGCTGATCGAACATGCGTGGTGATGTGATTAATTAGACTTGGTGAAGAATAATCAAGACTCTAGGACCCTAGGATGCCCAGCACTACTGGCAGATGGAAAAGGAGAATGACAACAGTGGGTGGCTGCAAAGTCATCCAATACTTTCCTCGTCTGAAGTGGACTTGAGCAAGTGCATTCCCCTGCGCCTTTATGGGGACGGCGCCGAGGCATTCCGAAACCCAGCATGCATGTAAATCTAAGGTGTCTGCATGATGGTGTCTGTGGTTCGGATATTCGAACAGGCTTCAGCTAGGGTTTTTGGATATGAAGACGTACCCTCTCTGCAAGAAAGCCAAAGTCTGCGGTCGGCCCGCTCACGTTCGCGTGATTTCATACCGTTCTGCAAGCTGAGGATCTCACAAGTTTGAGATCCTCGTGCTGCAGAGCGTTCTTGGGAAGTCTTCAGCGACTTTGAACAACCGCTGGTTGTTTCTAGGCAGCACTAAATTAAAGAATGGCGGTCATGTGCGTCCATGTCGACACGTAGATCGAATGTGCTTGTTGTTGTGAGGCTCTCCTGTGCGAATGCTTCACTCCACACGTCGGATGCTCGGACCAAGATCCTTGAAAAGCTTGCGTGGAGCTTCAATCTTCTTAGCTTCCCGGACGGCATATATTGATGTCACATTATAATCCGAGACTCCACGTCTCAGCTCAGACAACAAATCCATCAGTTTTAAGTCACGTTGTTAAGATTAGGAGTTCTGCGATGGCATGTGTCTGGTTTCAAACCTACTTACATATTTCACCGGCCATACTCGCTAATTTCCACCAAAACAAATAATGATATAAGGCAGCAAGAAGATCGCGGGAGAGTACTGGTTTGTTCTGGACGGCGTGCAGGCCGACCAAGATTACCTCAAGATTCTCTTCGATTTACAGCGCACGTTTTCACGCCAGCAATGCTGCCACTTTTGCAAAGCAATACAATGGGTGCGAGCCGACATGCCGCCGACGGGGGAGAACGACCCGGAACTGCTCTACACTCGCTGGGGGAGGAGTGCTGCACATCGCAACACGCGCCTCTTCCTGGTTCTGTTGCAGGGGGTATGTCGGTTTGTTTTCACGTTCTGCTCCCCGGAATAAATGTGGGGGTTTTCGATCTGTGTGGTGCTCGCAGTGCTGGAGGCTTGTGACTGTGAATGAGTTTGTCGCCTTGCACGGACCGACTCCGCTCACCAGCGTCATTGGTTTTCATCCGTGGAGTGCCTGGCCTGAAAGTATAGGTTTGTAAAGTGATGTCAGCTTCGAGTTGTTGTTCATGCGCTTCGCTCGTTTTCAACGAATGTATGTGATATGTGTGTCGTGTGTCTCGACGCAGTCTTCAGGACTTTTCCCTGATGCCATGCACATTCTCCACTTAGCTGTGATACCAGATGCGGTCGTTGCGATTTTCTTGCAATACACGGATGATGAGTCGATTTTCTCTGGAAGCAAACGTGATGATAGGCTGGAGAATCTTTGGCAGCTTTACAGGTCTTGGTGCGAGGAGGGAAACGTATCGGAGCGTGCGCAGAGGAAACTTTTCAGCACTGCCATCCTCAAGAACAATCATTACGTGGAGATAAGCCAAAAGGTGATGAACGCCACAGCTTGCAGATACATGGTTTTTTTCCTCGCTGTGTTGGGCGAGATGGTACTTCAGAAGCTGGGTCCGCAGGCTAGCAACTTCCACTACTGGATTGCAGGGGTCTGCTGGGCGTTTGCTTCCATGGAGCGAATCATGTTGCAAGGCGGCCGATTCTTGACTCAGCCTCAATGCGAATGCTTTTACAATGATTACCTCGTCATGCGAGGAGGCTACAATCATCTGGCGCAGCGCGCCTTGAGCCTGCAATTGCCAAGGTGGCACTGCAGGCCCAAACTACACCAATGGGAGCACGCAGTGCTGGACTACCTCCCGAGAAATCCGCGTTATTGCTCCAACTTTCTCGGAGAAGATTTTGTACGACGTGCCAAGACTCTGGCGCTGCAGAGTCATGCCAACTGGATGTCACGGCACGTGTTGCTGCGATATGTACTGCAGTTCTGCTTGGCATGGCGGGAGTGAAAACGTCTGAATGCGACACCGTGCTGAGATCTGCATCGTTCATGCGCGTCTCTTTCTCTCGAGTCTCCCTCTCGCTGCTCCTTCCCCCTCCTCTCCATAATGTATATATATATATATATCTCTATCTATTTATACATATTCTGTTACATAGTTAAGCAACGAATATTTATGTATAGTTACATATACATACACAGATACGACATGCACAAACATCATGCGCATGTTTTTTTTTGTGGCACTGTGTCTGTTGTTTTTGTTTTACGCTGTTTGGCTCAAGGCGGTTTTTGTTTCCGCTGTTGGCTCAAGAAAAAGCAGGCCATACATGTATATGCAGCAGTATTCTAGCTCCTAGATAAATGGGCTGCCACTGGTCGCGGAGGAGCACCTGTGCCATACACATATATGCAGCAATAGGGCCTGTGCAGATGACGAGTATTTTAAATCCGAGTTCTTGCGCGCGCGCGCGCGCAAGCTCTTTCGTACGTACGCGCGCGCGTGCGCGTGCGCGCGCGCG